ATGCAGTCTAGTGGATCCCAAGTCTATTTTTCAGTAATGATATATAGGCCTACTAATGTGTGGTTTCTGCGGCATTTTTTTTTTTTTTATTTTGTAACTGCCTTCTGTACCTGACATGAACGCACCTGCTGTTCGAAATAAGATAACCTTTGGTTTCAAGCCCAAATGTTAAACATAAAAGCTGACCAGAAGAATACGAGTGAAAATCCTAATCTTTCGGCACCCAGTTTGGGAACCACTAGCTTAGATTACAGGAAAGGGATTCAGGGATTAGATTCTGTTATATTTATAAAGACAGGATGTTTAATTAACGAGTAATAAGAAAGAATTGATGGAGCTTTGTCTATTTCTTCTCGTATCTCTATATTTACATCGCTTATGTTTGTGAGGTATGACGATTATTGATTCATAATTGGATCTTACTGAAATTAATGTTTTCTCTCTTCCTCGCAGGCCTTTTGTCTTGACACCCTTGCCATCGTGTTTGACATTGTCAATATGTCCTTGAATTGGCCTGACGTTCAGAGTAAGTATGGTTTTGAGAATAAAAAACATGCCAATGAAGTTTTCTAATGTGGGTTGTGAATGACTTCATAATTCCATCTGTGCCTAGTTCCGTGAACAATTATGTTTATGTATTCTATTGATTTGAGTGGAAGATGTATTATAAGCAATGCGGTACAGCCATTCTTCATCATTTATGAAAACGTTGTGCATTCCGATGCTGGGTGTCAGTGCCAACTTACTTAAATGGCCAGAAATATTGGTGTATCGAATTAGGCAAAGATCTGGACACCCATTAACCTCAAGCAACACCAACTGAAGTGGCATGAGGTGTAGCTAACACTTTGGGCTTCTGTACCGACCTTTATAATTAGGTTTTCGGCCACGGATGGGCTCTTAAAGTGACCACAAAATCAGAACCCAGTAGGAATAAGTATCACATTCTCCTTTGCAGCTGGAGGGGCCATGCAATTCGGAGCAGCCATGGCCATCATGAACCTCCTGTTGCGACCTCTGTCTTGCTACCTCCTCTTCCGCATCGTCCAGGACCGAGCTGAGCCAGAGGGTTCGCAGGGGCTGCCTTCGGGATTCGACAGCCTCTTTGGTGAGTCGGGTTTTGCTTCGTTCCGGGAAGGGTTCCTGCGAGATCGTTTTTTCGATGTTGTTGGGTGTTGGTGGTGTGGCAGCCTTTTGAATCTGTGTTGTCTCTCCTAATATACTGTGTCTTTGTCTGTCTGTCTGTCTCTCTCTGTGTCTGTCTGTCTCTCTCTCTCCTCTCTCCTCTCTCTTCTCTCTCCTCTCTCTCTCTCTCTCCTTCTCCTCTACTCTTCTTCTCTCTCTCTCCTCTCTCTCCTCCCTCTCTCTCTCTCTCTCTCTCTCTCTCTCTCTCTCTCTCTCTCTCTCCGGTCTCTCTCCCTTCTCCCCTCTCTCTCTCTCTCAACTTCTCTCATCTTTCTCCTCTCTCTCTCTCTCTCTCTCTCTCTCTCTCTCTCTCTCTCTCTCTCTCTCTCTCTCTCTCTCTGCTCTCTCTCTCCCTCTCCTCTCCTCTCTCTCCCTTCCTCTCCCTCTCCTTCTCTCCTCTCCTCTCCTCTCCCTCTCCTTTCTCTCTCTTTCTCTACAGTATTGTTTGCATCATTACCTCTAAATTATTGATTTGCAAGCAGCATGCATTTATTTTTTTTTGGGGGGTCGGACATGCATATTCTGAGCAGCATTATTTATTTATCTATTTCTCCATACTGTTGAATTGACTTTTTTTTTAAATCTTTTTTACTGTTTATCATGCCGGGATTGTCAATAAATAGTGCTATAATTCTCTCTTCCCCTTCAACGCCTCCAGGTTCTCGCCGCAGCCCCTATGAAGACATAGACGAGTCCTCGCCACCGACGACTCCACGACCAGACCCGCGTTACCCCTCCACGTCAGGGACTCGGCCATCCAAGATCGTCACCACTTAGACTACCAGGGTGCTCCTTCAAGTCTGAAGTCTCACATCCTTTCAAGCATTTTTTTGTGGTCGAGTGTACAGCCGACAGCAAAAGCGGTGTCGTTTCGCCGGACTTGGCTCGGACAGATCATGCCCTTCTTGCCCTGAGAGGAGACCCTCGTTCAAACAACCAGGGCGTAGTTAGGATGGTTCGAATGTGAGGGGGGGGGGATTACGGAAATCCGGCAAAGAAGTGCAATGACTGAAATCTATATGGAGAGAGAGAGAGAGAGAAAGGGATCGCTATAATTTCGATAATAATTATCCTGAAGTCTTATCACATCGTTTTATCATAACTCCTTATCACATTTTCTAAACAAAAATCCTTAAACATTGTTGGAACTAACTATTCTTATTACTATTCGTCAGACGGATATATCCTTCGTTTGCTTTATCCCAGAGTCATATATTAATATATGGCTCTGCATTATCCTCTCTCTCTCTCTCTCTCTCTCTCTCTCTCTCTCTCTCTCTCTCTCTCTCTCTCTCTCTCTCTCTCTCTCTCTCTCTCTCTCTCTCTCCTCCGTCTTATATCACCTAGATCCGCTATTTAGATAATGGTAAACTTTTGATATGTTATTTGGAAAATAGAATAATAGTCATAACAATATTTCATACGCCATTATATTTTCCAAATGTTTACAATCATTTCGTTACCACAAATAACGAAGTGAATATGTAAAAGCCGGACTGGATATATCGAAAGTAATGGGTTTCTTGAATAGTTTGGAGGGGAAACAGATAAAATGTTGGACACTAGCCGCAGAAACGACTAATAAAGGGGCAAGAATAGGTAGAGTCAAGGCTGGGGGAATATTCCCTTAGCCACGGTGAAGCTAGACTCGGCCCTTCGCGGGGTGAGTGAGCAAGCGTGAGCCAGGAAGGGGGTTCGCTGGGAAGTACCCAATCTGCCCAGGTCTAAAGACTGTCACCTAATAATTTGACACTAAATAACATGTTAATAGTATATGTCGCAGCTCCTACATCATATATACCCCACCATCATCATATTAATGCACTGCTGCACACATTCATGCATTTCATTTTACACCATTTTACACCAAACGGTGCTTCGCGATTCATGAACGCGACTGGAGGTCGTGGTTCGTAGGAGGCACCCAAACGAAATAAAAGGAAAACAAGGGAATCGATACCTAAAACTTCACATCACATTACCTTCGAAATTTTGTGGCTAAAGCCATTTATTAAGGTTTGGTAGCTCAAGAGGCGCTATTTGAGACGATACATTATTAACACCCACAAACAGTACACACTCACTGTGTATGTGAGAGAGAGAGAGAGAGGGGGGGGAGGGATGCGGGTGCTAGCCGCGATAGGAAAGGACTGAAACATAGTAGGCCACCTTTCAGGGTAAGAAGGGCAAGATCTGCCCAAGCCAGGTCCGGCGGGGCGACATCGCTTTTGTTGTTGGGTGTACATTATTTTCAGCTTCTGATGTGACCTTGGATGACGAGAGAGGTTTTAGTTATTTATTTTTGGCTGATCTTGTTCGTTTTTTTTTTTTTTATATATATATAGAATTGGGATATTTATCTGATTTTTGTAGAATGAAGGATGGAAACAGCTTTGTAATACTGCTGATCTTCCCTATTTGGACACATTAAGACAGAAATTGAGCTTTTGAAATAAAGGAGAGAGTGCCAAAGATTGCGGTGTATACGATAACACTCGTCCACTTGCTTCATGTGGAAATATTATTTGTGTACATTATAGTATGCACATTTCAGAGGCAGTGGTTATAACAGTTCGGGTAAGTTAACTGAGATGTAATTATTTTTTAGTCTCAGGCGTTTGAGGTTGCTGTACTGGAAACGAGAATATGTATAACAATATAATTGGATCGATTCATCATGAAATGCTGTCCAAATACAAAAATAAAAATGTGTGAAATTCAGAAGTTTAATATTATTCTGAAAATATGGAAGAATTACCATAATCAGTGTATCAGTGATTCACACACGCACACGCACACGCACACGCACACGCACACGCACACGCCACCACACACACACACACACACACACACACACACACACCACACGCACACGCACACACAGGTTTCGTTGGTGTGACTGAGGCTTCGGAACTTGAACCCGAATTAGCTTGGGATGCGAACGCGAATCGAAAGTGCGTTCGAATGTGCTTGAAGGGAATATTTATAGTGACTAAACGTAGTAAGTATCCTGTATCTTTGTGCTTATGGGTATACATGGCTCGCTGTATGTGTTTGTGCACGTGTACATGGAATGATAATTGTGTATGTGAGGTTATTCTGAAGATTAACCCGAAGTTTTTAGAATTGGAGTAACTAAAAGTAAATTTGGAGGAAGTCACCTTAACGCCATTGGGATTCTGACCCCGTTTGCATAGGCCAGGCTGGAAAAGTGTAGGTTTACAGTCGTAGTTCGCTTTATTCTTTATTATTAATACCATTACGATGCCTAACAATATGTCGTAAGTAGTAGACTTACCGTATTTCTTCTGAATTTCTATGGATGAAGTACATAAAATCTTACTAAAAAAAAAAAAAAAAAAAAAAAAAAAAAAAAAAAAAAAAAAAAAAACATGAAAGAAAACACGAAGTGCTAATAATCCCAATCCAGGTATATAATTTTTTTGAAATATGGAATGTATATGTGTGTGCACATCCATACGTGCATAATACATTATATACTATATATATAATATATATATATAAATATATATATATATATATATATATATACACACGATTATTTATACATATATACACATGTACACAAACACACACACACACACACACACACACACACACACACACATATATATATATATATATATATATATGTGTGTGTGTGTGTGTGTGTGTGTGTGTGTGTGTGTGTGTGTGTATACGGTATATATGTGTATATATACGGTATATACATATATGTATACGGTATATATAATATATATATTATATATATAATATATATATTATATTGTACTGCATATATAAATGTGTTTTATTTATATACACACATAAATATATGTATACAGTATATATATCATTTATGAATGTGTGTATTTGTATGTGTGGATGTGTGTCTACTTGTGTGTATGTGTATATATGTGTGTTTTATATGTATGGTGTGCGTATGTATATAGATGTATATGTATACACACACACACACACACAGGCTCACACTTACATATGTACATGCTTGCACATATGTGTATGCGAATGTGTGTGTGCGTGTATTCACGCTTACATGAGTGCGCATGACATGCACTTCTGAAATGTTTTGAGCCTGGCTGGGCTGCTGAGGGATTCTCTTGAGTCAATGCCCCACATAGTAAGTATAAATGATAACAATGGTTCTCATAAAGATCAGAACTCAAAGCGTACCAGTCGGTATATATTCTTCCTAAGCTCTCATGTTGACATAGAGCTCAACCACCTTCCACACTGTAGCAACTTTATCGAATTTCTGAAATTCAGATGTCAGTCTGGCATTAGGTTTTCATATTTCACTAGGATTTGCATCCCGTCATAACATTCTGAGACGTCACTCCATGTAATTCAACTTTCAGTTCGTATGGCATAGAAGCATGGATAGTTTTCCCTAGAATTTTGATGATGCTTTCCATTTATGCACTTAACTTAACTTAACTCGGTAACTCTTCTAGTTTCATGCGATGGGATTGTCTCGCCTCGTCGTTTATACCTAGCCAGTGGTTGCAGTTGATTTAAAGTGCATACCAGACTACAAAGCTGATCGTGACAACCCCTCTTGTGGCCCGGAAGTGAATGTAGGGCGGCACCCCCACGCGCCTCGGATCTTGGATGTATCCCTAAGCTCCGCCCCCGGCCCGCCCATGTCCGTGACAATGTGACGTAGATATATCGGAGCCATTATGGGGAAATAATGGAGCCATTATGGGGAAATAACGGAGCCATTATGGGGAAATAACAGTGACGATCATTTACATTTACATCTCCAGGACGTCCAGCAGCAGCTACCGAGGTTCCTTCATTTCGTCTGCACCGGATCTGTGGAAGACAGTCATAACAAGTTTATTCTGAAAATATGGAAGACAATTATCATAATCAGTCATAACAAGTCGAAATGCATTGCTGGGGCCGCTGTCATTGGCTACCTCGCAGCAGCAGGACCAGCGGATGTTAAAAGACAGTAATTCATATCAGTTGCGTTTGCTGAGCAGACACATAGAACTACCAGAACCCCTAAAATAATAAACTAAAAGAATCAAAGAACACACACACGCAAACACATACACATATGTACATATATAATGGCTCTTTTGCAGTTTTCCTCTTCCTCATCACAGAGATACTCTCCACTTATCCTAATCGCCCTATTCCCTTAACCCTTTCTCCTTTTACAAATCTCCGCCGTACTCTATCTGCTCTCCCCCCTTTCCCCTTCTCACTACCATACTATCCCATAGCAATCTACAACTATGGCACCTAACACATTTTATCCTGATTGTTTATCCATTTCGCCACAATATTTTACCTACATAGTGCTGTATGACCTCTGGCGTCTAGCGCATTTACTTGTTTTATCCATTCGCCATCTTTCAGCTGTTGTGAGGAAACATGATGTTCATGAAGTCTTTGTGGCTGGCAGAGTTCAGCTACTCTTCCTCCAGAAGTGATCTGACATAAAGAATTCGTTAATTAGGCAAACTAATTTGAAAGGTCTGATATATGCACGGACCAGTATGTCTACGAAGAATTCTCGAGAGAACTTACAAAATCGACATCCCTTTCATAATTTTTTTTTTTTTTTTTTTTTGCCTCGTTTGTCATTGTTCACCGACAATGTTTCCCTAGTGTTATACGGCGTTTGGGCTGCAACAAAACCAGCTTGTACTTTGTCTTTTGAAGTGGGAGACGGAAGCGTTACAAGTAGGCCTACATTTTCAAACTGCTGAAGTTTCTCCGATTCGGGATGACCTGTAGCTGCTCCGGCAAGAACACGTCCCGCATTCTCAGATGTAATCACCGTTGCCTCTGCCTTCCCACTTTCTTCGAGAGCATTTAGTTTTGCAGGGTCACTCTCAGGCAACGCGAAAAGTAAAGATAATTAACATGTGCTTCTGCTAGCTGGAGACCGTACGCCTGGTCAAACTCATCCTCCTCCTGTTCAAA